CGAGAATTCCTAAATTAGATGGGCACAAGGCACAGTAAATGTGTACCTCTGTTGTTTCCTCTTTCATTATGATGCGAAAAACAAGGACAATGACAATATAGCTTAGCAAGAGATGAACACATGCGATGGGTTATACGTCACAAGCAGGGCGCTGTTCTCATCGTGACGTGCTTTACCCATAGCACAGATTACCTAGACCAGATCACAATGACCAGATACGAATACGAATGTACGCAGCGGCATCTTTACCGGCTCCCTCACAAAGGCGATGTAGGTTTCGGATTAAGATGCGCGTTTGTTTGACCATGATAATAATTTATTTATTGTTATTACGAAACCATTGGATTAGTTAAGAAATAAAACTACAAAGAAAAATATGATGAAAAAAAAAAATCAATAATATTTATAAATGGGACAAAATTTTAATTTTTCTTTTGGTTTTGTCTGACTTTTTCAAGAATTTCAAATCTCTGTTTGCATATTTAAGAGTATAAAAAATTCTGAGTCTTATAAATAATTTAATGGTGTACATTTTCGCAAATTGTTGGCAAGGATAACCAAATTCTATTTTGCTCATCTCAAAAAGGTATGCGTTGGAAATTCCAGGCTTAGTTGACAAACTATCAAATAGAGATATAAATATTTTTTCTAATTTGAAAATATAAAAGACATTTTTCTCTGGGACATTTTAAATTGCGAAACACCTTTTCTTCAGAGTCGCATGCTTTAAAATGCGTTAACAAGTTAGAAGTGTTAAGTAAATTGCATTCTTCTGAGAAATTTACGCAAATTTCGCAAGAGTGGATATGTAATGAATTTTTAATTAAATAGCCACATACATAGTTAAATGCATTTTGAGTGGTCACATTTAGCTCCCTGTAGTGACATTCAGAAATCGTTATTGCCCCAACTGATTGTTTTGAAATATATTTAATTTTCATTAAGCGGAGAACTTGTTTTCCAAAGGGAAAAGCGAATCCCGGGATTCCTTTCCAGTGTGTGCCCCACTGCCACTAGTGCCCACGAGCCGCCACTGTTCACATGATGATTTGGAGATGATTGAAGGAACATCAGCTTCATCCATATTACTTAACAACCGTTCTAGAATTACTAGATGAAGGGTTAGTACTAGAATGTCACGAATCTTTGGCCGAAGTATCCACTAACAATGTGGTCACCTTAAGATAGATCAAAGGTCACGCCTATGAATACTAGAGAGAAGGAGGCGAATCGACAATGGTCAAATTTTAAATTTTCGTCCTTTTTATAAAATTCACAAAATTGACTGTAGTTGGCATGTCAAATGACAGCGGTGTCCATTTTCTATGTAAGTCAATGTAAAATAAAGCAATTTTTTAAAAAACTGATAAAAAGAATCAAAATAATGTGAAAAAAAGTACCTCAATAACATGAGCGACAAAAACATAAAAGCAAGAATTACGGCGTTCCAGATTCTAAAACAGGATAAAAATCAAATGTAAAACTAAAGAAAACACAAGAAGAAATCAATTCAATGCCTTTTTAATGCTTCTAATGTAAGTAAAACAATGTATTTATGTCTAAATATAATATTTATTGTAAACTAGTCACAATATGTATGTTACGAAGTGTAGCTTATTTTATTACAAGTTTCTATAATATAAAATTTTACAGTCATAGATGCTGACTTACAAATAAAAATAATTATGCATTAAATTTAATTTACTAGAAAAGAAAATTTATTTTTTATAGTTTTAATGTTAAAGAGTTGCTACTGTTATTTTTTTACCCCAACTGTGTCTTTGTAAATGTTTTTTATAGGATACTAAACGTTTAGAACAGTGGCACCATATACAGTATGGTTCAAATGAAAGGAATAAATTCGTTATAATGGAAGTAGTTGGTTTTTCGAAAAAATGCTCGGACAGGTCAATTTTGTTTACTTAAAGCGCAATTTTTAAAATAAAATTTAATTTTCCCCCACTTCCCATTTTTGGGCAGTGACGTCATTGACAATTTTTTTAAATAGCAACCCCAATTTTTTTTTCTTGATTTTGATAGATCTTGAAATTTCATACTCGGAAACATAATATTTGAAATATCTGACATAACAATTTAAAAAAAAAAAAGTCATTTAAAGATCAGATACATAAATTTTATGTTATTTTGAAACACAATAAATTAATAAAAGATAATTATTTGTGCTTAATCTAAAAAAAAAAAAAATAATAATAATAATAATAAAAAGAATTTAATGACAATTTCACAAATTCTTTTTATTATTATTATTATTTTGTTAGATTAGGCATTTAATTACAAATAATTATCTTTTATTCATTTATTGTGTTCTCAAAATAAAATAAAATTTGTGTGTCTAATCTTTAAATGTCTTCTATTAAATAAAAATTGTTATGTAAGATATTTCAAATATTATGTTTCCGAGTAGGAAATTGCAAGATCTATCAAAATAAAAAAAAAAAAAAAATTGAGGTTACCATTTAAAAAAATTGTCAATGACATCACTGCCCAAAAATGGGAAGTGGGGGAAAATTGAATTCTATTTAAAAAATTGCGCTTTGAGTAAACAAAATTGACCTGTCCGAGCATTTTTTCGAAAAACCAGCTACTTCCATTATAATGAATTTATTCCTTTCATTTGAACCATACTGTATATCGTTCCTAGTGCCGATAAAGAATTTTCTAGAGATGATGCTCTGTTCTATACTTTTTAGATATCAAATATTATGAGACTATTTTTATTAATGGTACTGTTAGCAAAATAAAAAGGGGAAAGCTGAAATTAAAGGATGAGGTAATACCATGTACATTCCGAAATCTCCCTTTATACTTGCATTACAACAATAAAAAATCTGTTAGATGTGTTTTATTTTACTCTTAAAACTATATATTGGTTCAATTCAAAAAAAAATTTGCCACAAAATTGTACTTATCAAATTTCAGCATTTAAGAAACCTTCTCAAATTTGGTCATACATACCTAATTTGTATTTTATATAGATAAAATTAAATAATTTATCAAATAAAACATGCAAGATTTATTTAGAAATAAATACAACAGTATGTTCTGTGCTTTATTTAGCTATAAACAAGTTTAGTTTTATTATTTTGACAAAATTTTGTATCATTCCCATAAGAAGCCATGTATTTTGAACACCGTATGCAATACCAGCGCCCATGCAGTTAATTATAGAAGTTCAATAATTAGCAAGCGTTTTTTGGGACCGTAATTGGAGTATGCCGATTCGCCTCCTTATCTCTAGTCTTCATAGTCACGCCACATCGAAAGGTAACCGTCTTGCTGATTCACTAGCCAAGAAAGCAGCCAACCAAATACTTTTTGGACCTGGTCCTTTTATTGGCCTGACAAAATCGGTAGTGACAGACCTAATTAAAGAACATTCCCTTGTGAAATTCAAGAAAAGATAGGATGAAACAAGAAACTGAAGAGTTGCCAGGGAGCTCTTTAGTTATCCTGACAACACTGCATCAAACAAATACTTGACTATGACTAGACATAATCTGCGCCTAGTCATAGGCATTCTGACTGGTAATTTCCAAGTACGGAAGCATCTTCATATCATGGGGCTGTCAGAATCCGCAATCTGCAGAGGGTGCGAACAAGAAGATAAGACCATCAAGCATATCCTTTACGATTGCTCGAAGCTCTCATTTATTAGAGGATTTGTGTTCGACGAGTATCGACTAACACCGGCCGATATAAGAGAAGCACCTCTTGGCGACGTTGTCAACTACTTTAAATCTGTAGGCTGGCTTACGAGCTAGGAGGTGCCTATCATCTTAGGAAGGTGCACAATGCGCCTAATGAGGCCTAAGTGCCTTGGGGGTAACCCACCCTCCACACGTTACAGATACAGATACTAGATGAAGATTTTGCGACTAATTCTAAACGGAAAACAATCGAAATATCAATTAGTTTAGTTTTTAATTTTTGGCCTATTTTGACTGACGCTATTTTATAAAGCACTATTTCGTTCAGGCGCTCTTTTGATACGCCCTATTTCGTTCAAGCGCTCTTTTAATATGCACTATACCGTTCAATGCTATATCGTGACAGAGCCAGAATTTTCCCTTTACCTGGAAACATAATTTTTCTTCAAGAGGATCAGAATACTAATAGAATAAGTAAAAATAACGAAGTGTGTATTTTAGATGCTAAATAATGTAGACAGAATCGATTAAAAAAAAAATTGTGAAAAGAATCGATGAGATTAGGTTAGGTTAGGCCGAAATCACTGCAAATTTCCCGAAATTATCATCGAAAATCATGGTTTAAATCAGGGGTTACCAAACTTTCTAGCCTTAGGGCGATACTGATTACGCCAGTAAATTATCTGCAATAATCTATAATTTCTAAACTAGTCGCCCAGTACGCACCCTGAGCGAGCATACGCTTGTTAAATTCGCTAGTTGAATTACTATTCTGTATTAATACGACCATGACACTTGACGAAATCTGGTGGTCAAAAGCGCTAACAGATGGCGCTAGTAGTACTTTCGAAATTGCAGTTACAATTGAACATTCATGAATAACCTCAGTGGTTCAAGAAAGTTCTAGGGAATTCCACTCACTTCGAGATGGCAGTAATCGGAGTATAGAAAGGCTAGGATGCGACCACGAGTCAGTCTCTAGGGAAGGCGTAGCAAGCCGCATTTAAAAGACATCTTCGAACCGACCAACGCCCTTACGTAACAGTATTTTGATTTGACTTGTTGTTTTTGTGTGTGATTTATTAGTATGGAAAAGAAGCGAAAAATAGTACATTCAAAGATCAATGGAACTTTCAATATTTCGTGATTGAGTCCAGTAATAAGGCGCTATGTTTGATTTGCAATGAAACCATAGCCGTTCTCAAAGAATATAACATTAAACGTCATAATAAAACGAAATATTTTTAAAATTACTAAAAATATACAGAAAGTATGCGGACAGAAAAATTTGAAGCTTTGAAGCGCGGTTTGAAATCGTAGCAATCTTTTTTTATGAAAGTCAATATTGAACAAGAGGCTGCAACTCGTGCTAGCTGTCGTGTGGCTCTTGAAATCGCAAAACGTGGAAAACCATTCACCGATGGAGAAATGATCAAAGACTGCGTAATTGCAGTAGTCGAAGAAATGTACCACGAAAAGGTAAATGTATTTAAAACTGTCACTTTGTCAGCAAACACCGTTGGTCGAAGGGTACAAGACATCGCAAAAATATATCATTTCAACTGTCAAATAAAAATGGACATGCTTGGTATTTTCCTTTGCATCGAAAGTGTGGCACTGAGCTGCGCCACTTCTGAAAATATCGTTCCATCCATACAATTTGTATAAATGGAACGATATTTTCAGAATTTGCCTAGCTCAGTGCTACACTTTTGATGTAAAGGAAAAGACCTATTGAGTGGTTTTCTCTGGCCTTGGATGAATCATCGGATGCGTCAGATACTGCTCAGGTGTTGATTTTTATTCGAGAAGTAGATAAAGTGTATGATAATATTGATAGTATTCATGGCACGATTACTGGGGAAGATATTTTTAAGGGAGTTAAAAATACCATTAATAAAAAGAACCTTTGATGGAAAAATTTGAAATCTATTAAAACCGATGGAGGCAAAAACATGTGTGGTAAAAATAAAGGAGTGGTTGCACTTGTGGTAAAGGCTGTAGAAAATGATGGTGGTTCAAAACCATTAATCTTACATTGTATCATTCATCAACAGTCCTTGTGCGGAAAATGTTTGGATGTGTCTGAAGTTCTAAAACCAGTCATATCAGTTGTTAATTTCATCAGATCCACTGGGCTGAATCACCGACAATTTCGCGAGTTTATTGAAGAGATGGAAGAAAATGACTTACCATATTATACTGCCGTACTCTGGCTTAGTTGCGGAAAAGTCCTTCAGCGCTTTTTTGTACTTCGAGCAGTGATCGAATTTTTTTTAATGGAAAGCAGCGCCCTCTTACCGAATTACAAAATAGTGACTGGCTGTGGAGTTAGCATTCTATGTCGATTTGACAAAACATATGAACGAACTGAATTTGAGAGTCCAAAGAGAAAACCAGCTTCTCCCTGATTTATGTACTAATATCAAATCGTTCCGACAGAAAATATTACTGTTTCAATCACAATTACGTAAAACATTTTTCACATGTTTTAAATCATGTGAAATATCCAGCCACACTACTGAGACTGTGTTTCCCGTTGATTTTGCAACCGAAGCTTTTAGTGTTTCGAAGATAAATTTTGATACTTGTTTCTTTAGACTTTGATGTCATTTCGAATTAAATTAAGATTTTTCAAAATCCTTTTGATACTGACATTGAAACCCTAGCTCCAGAAGTTTAAATGGAAATCATTGATTTACAGTGCAGTGATATTATTAAGAATTAATATCAAAACTCATCTTTGTTGGAATTTTATAAGAGTCTTCCACTGGTACAATTTGATAATTTGCATAAATTGGCTCTTAGGAATTTTCTGTTTTTGGTATTACTTACTTGTGTGAGAAAACATTCTTTAAAATAAAGTTCATAAAGAATGTTTACAGATCTTAGTTATCCTATGAGTATCTTAAATATCTTTTAATAATTGGTACAAGTAAAATTGGCCCACAACTACAAACGCGTTAATTTAGCTTTTCGGTTCCTGAGGGATTTTCAAGATAAAAATCATATGTGTGATTCAGGATACAAGTTATAGAGTCAATAACCCTGAGTCGGCAACCTTGGAACTGCTGACTATTACATTAGATTAGTTTGTGTCATTCCACCTTAGGTGTAATGCCACCGGTTGTATTATATTTCCTTTCTTGATATTCAGTTTAGAATCTGTTCTTGATAAGTAAAGTGGTAATTTAAATTAAATAAATCTTTTTAAAAACTAATTACAGAGTGTACTTAGTTAAGTTACATATATTCCAAACATCGATATACACACGTAATTTACGATTCTCTTTAACCCATCCATACTCAACCTGCGGGCCGCATGCGACCCTCCAAGCTTTTTTTGCGGCCCGAAACACTATTTAGAAGGTGCTTTTTAAAACTAAATGTTTCTGTTTTTAAAATCTGGAAAAAATGCGCGAAAACATTCATCGACCACTGCGATACATATTACGTTAATTTTTTAATAAACGTTTGGGTCCTGGGGATACAGCAAAAAACAAGATACCTCCACTTTTGTAATTTTCGAGTTAAAAGCACTTTCGTCTCCAAAATATTTCAAATAATATATGGCATAAACAAGACAAGTTGTAACGAAGTTTATATTCATAATAAACAGATGGCCAATAAAAACTAAGTCCATATTAATACAATCACAATATGCACAAACAAGATGAGTGACATACCGAAACAATCATAATATTGTGTTCAATTGCTAATAGTGTATCTACCAAAACCAGATAAGAGACATATAACTTATTTTTGCTAAATGTAGTCCGATTCCTAATAGTGTTTTTGCCGAAACAAGGTAAAGGCCAGAACACTTATTTTTGTTGAATGTATTTGTTCAAATACCTTAATATTTTGCTCAAGCCATTTGTTTTGTTTTACTTACAGCCGTCTCTAGCATTTCTCGATTGTTCCGAAATCATCAGGGTGATTACGTCACCCTTTCTATCCGCGATTCAGGTAACCTTCAAAAACCAATAGAAAGAGCCTGAAAAGGGTAAAAAATAGCTCTGAAAATATTTACAAAAAAGTGCAAGAAAAAATATTTACTAAAAACTTTGAAAATCAGGTGCTACACCTGATGAATTTCACAATTATTATATTATGACCTCTATGTAGCGAGCTAAAATAGCCTAAGCGGCGTTTTTCTCTTTTTTTTCTTGTTACTAACCAATCAATTCTTAGTTTATACTTCGTGAAGACTACTTATGTTTTGAATACCTTTTTTTAATTGGAGTTCTTGTTTATTAAACAGTTTGAAGCTTTTAGTGATTTTTTATTCAATTTTAACCATTTGAACAGCGTTTTCTCGAAACTCTAAAAATGTTTTTGCTGTAACCCGACGGGATAAAATTTATGTTCTGTGTTTTATTTATTAGAGATCCCCACTAACTAATTTTAAATGGATTACCAAACAAATATTGCGGCCCGTGAAACATAGCAAACATACGAATGTGGCCCGAAGAAAAAAAAGGTTGAGTATGGCTGCTTTAACCCAACATAACTACCAAGGGTGAAACCGCCGGATGCTCACTAGTTTATAATGTTAGTGAAATTTAGTTCAATTATTTGTTAATTATTATAATTTTTCTGCGTATTATACTTGTCATTAAGCTATACCTAGCAAGTAAATAAATTAGAGTTATTATCATTATGTTTTTTTTTTATCCAAATTATCACAGCAACAATAACGCCCGTGTGCACAGTACACGTTTAATCCAGATCAAGGGTTTAATCGCGTTTAGTACCACTTTTAGCTGTGGTACTAAACACGAATAAACCCTTGATCTGGATTAAACGTGTACGGTGCATACGGGCGTAAGCCATTAGTTGTCGCGGGCCGGATTGATGACATTGGCGGACCGAATTTGCCCCGCGGGCCGTAGTTTGGAGAGTCCTGGTCTAAATTATCACCGAAATCACTTCAAAATCAATTCGTTGCTCAAAAACGTAAATCCAGCTTGTGGTTCAAAAGACAAGGGAATAGTAAAAAAAGGGTCACCGAAATCACATAGTTTTTTTCATGTAATTTCTGAAATACGGGTACGTTTTAACCTTAGTGTTTTTTCCCTCGGGTTAGGCATTTAAGTGAAAACCTGTAGTAACACTTGCTTTATTTAAAAATTTACCTAAAAATTAACCTAAAAATTAACCTAAAAATTAACCTAAAAATTAACCTAAAATTAACCTATTTTTTTTTCTAAATTTAACCTAAAAATGAGCTTGTAAGTATATGAACTAAAGCACCGAAAACGGTTTTGGAATTTTTTTTCGGTTGCTCACTTGAAGTAAATAGAAAAGTTTTTTTTTCTACGACTCTAATTTAAAACTTAACTTTCTCAACTCATTTTGATTATGTAACTATTTAGAATATGCTTCACGTACTTCCTGAAAGTAAAACATTTTCTTGTTTTAAAACGTCAATACTGCCAGAAATGTAGCTCTGTTGTAGCATACATTTTATATTTAATGTACCTCCACATAAAAAATTTAAGGTGTAAATTCCGGTGACCGAGCTGGCCATTCTATGGGATCTTATTGTCTAATCCATCTACCATGACATTTCTCTCTAGATAACGTCTTACTACACCATACTAGTGCGCAGGAAACTCCATCTTGTTGGAACGTTATTTCCAAGTTACCAAATTCATCTGAATTGACTCAATTGCGTTTTGTATCATCTCCAGATACACTTTACCGGTTAAGTTAGAATTTAAAATGGTCATGCCCAAAAATGTATGTATGATTTCCCAGAGTAACTGCTCAGTCATTTACTTTTGATTAAAACTGTGTATATTTTTTAGTAAACATGTGAGGATTTGTGTCACTCCAATACCTCAAATTTTGAAACCTAACATTTTCATTGCGTTAAAAAGTACTTTCTTTCATCACTAAAACAAATTATTTTTACATAGTCCTGATTATTGGCCAATTTTAATGACATATTTTCACAGAATTCCAGACTTCGGTCAGGGTCGTCATATAAAGTAAGGAAACCATTTTTAATTTGTATGTGTAAAATTTGTTTTCGGTCAACTTCCTGAATACTGTCTTTTACTGACTTCACAGGTAGACGCAACTTGGGCTGGGGAAGAAGTAGAGTTTACCACCATTTTATAAAGACTACCTGTTGTTTGAAACTTCATCAAATAAGTCCGCAATGTATGCAAATTGTTTCCATTTTCACCAATTATAAATATAGTTGTTACTTTGTCAGATAGAGCACATTCTAGTTTGCTTATATAGACACTTGACAAGCTTACAACTATTTATTTTCACCCTGCAAATTTCATTAGTATAAGTATAACCGTTCAAAATCGGAGCAGGTCAACTCGGCGATGTAAAGTCGGCGACGGTCAACTCGGCTATGCCGAGTCGGCGATGTTCATCTCGACGATGGTAAACTCGGCGACGATCAACTCGGCGAAAAGGAATACAATAATATATTATTCAATTATTTATTATAATACAAAATAAGATACAACCTATAAAAAAAATTTGATTGGAGAATTTGATTAATAAAATCAAAATATATAAGAGATTTTAAATAAGAAACTGGTAAAAAGTTATTATTACTAAAGTAAATCAACATATACAGGAAAAAATATATTAAATATTAAAACTAAGAATCTGAAAAAGAAACTTCTTGATTAAGAAATTAAAATTTAATGGCCAGAGTTGTTTGGAATTACAAAATTAAGGTGGCAATAAAATCAATTAAGGGTCTTAACTACAATTAGGGTTTTTAATACCTAGTATTAGAAAGCAAATAAATATTAAGGGCTTAAGATTTTTCAAAGCAAAATAAAAATAAGATTACCTTATAATTGCCTGCTTAAGGGCTTAAGATTTTTCAAAACAAAATAAAAATAAGATTACCTGATAATTACCTGCTTACTTGTACCTACATCCTAAAAAAGACTGGTGATATTCACTTTCCTTAATATTCCGAATTCATCTCAGAAGTAAAGACATTGTGTGTAATTTTGTTTATCTGTGTGAGTTTTTTATTTACTGAGACTCAAGATGGAAAATAAAGTTCTTAGCCAAAGGGGTCACGAAAAGTACTACTGGGATGGCTACCTATACACGAAGGATAAAACGAACAAGGACAACACCATTCAATTCTGGCGCTGCGAAAACAAGCATGAAAGATACAAAGGAAGAATATGGACCAATATTATGGATGGTTCTTTCAAATGTATACGAAATGAACACACATGTAGTATGGTAGGAAATGCAGCAAATGTTGTTTTGCAAAAAATGAATACCACTGTGAAGCACCTGGCCGCGACAACGATGGAGAATCCTGCCCAAATCAGAGGACAAGTTTTGGAGAATGTACCAGCTGCGGTTAAAGGAATGCTTCCAAGTTCCAGTGTTATGCGGAGAAACATTCAAA